CATTGTGAGTGGAAGACTCGCTAAACCATCGCAACATATTAGTAAAGAGACCGGATCAGGTTGTGGTATCTTCTATGTTCCTCAACGACCATATACATGCTTGGGAACACTGAGAGATCAAATCATATATCCTCTCTCTCATGATGAAGCAGAAGTCATGACTCTAAAGTTGTCTGAAAAAGGTAGCATACTTGCACAAATTGAATTTCCTGGTTTCAATTTCTAGTTTCTATTTTCATATCTCTTGTATAAAGTTGAATATACTGCATTGCATCTGCTCTCCAACCCATTGATTCCATTTCACGGATGACTAGTAGATGTGATAGCATTATGTAGGAGTATGCGCGGGTACACTTTGTTTGTCTTGGTTTTAACTATCCAATATTAATGAAAGGTTTAAGCAAATTTTGTTAGTATTCCCAAAGAAGGGGGGAAAAAAAAACAAACACAGCAATATCAACTTTTGGCAGTTTACTAGAAATAGTTAAAAGAAAGGCCTTTTTATAAAAAATGTAAGATTTTTTTTTGGCTGTCTTTTTTTCTATTTTGGTTGTTCCTGGCTAATCCTGAAAACATGCATCAGAGTAAACTTATGCAAAGTATGATATCTTCCTTGTTCCAGACTGGTGGTTTTTTGACACGTTGATAAATTTGCTTAAAAGATTGAGAGGGAATGCATCTTTAAGCTATCCTGAATTTGAAGGCATAATCATGCATAAGAAATAAAGCTATTATTTGGTCCTTGCACCAAAAAAATTTGAGTAGAATTTTGGAGATATTGATATATAGCTCTTTGTTTCTCAATGGCTCCCTGCTATATTCATCTGAGGACATCTAGACTGTGATGAAAGTTGAATGGCAGGTTTTGGGTTTTCTACAGGTTATTTTAATAGATTTACTGCCGAAAGAGTTCTGACTCCATTCATGGTCCTTGGTAAAAAATTAACAGTCATTTCAATTTTCTATAGTTTTGACATCGTTAATCATTTGTTTGCCCTGGGGATTATAATTGGGCAAAATTTCAGGTATTCAATCCACTGAAATAACAAATATTCTGGATACACGTTTGAAAAATATTCTGGAGAATGTTCGGCTAAATTATCTCTTGGAGAGAGAAGGCGGCTGGGATGCGAATTTGAATTGGGAAGACACCCTCTCTCTTGGAGAACAGCAGAGATTAGGCATGGTGAGGAAGTTAATCAAGTAGTTCAAATTTAATTTGTTTGAATAAGATTTCTCAAGATTTTTCTCTTGGATCTTCAACTGTTCATTTTTTTTTCTAGGCTCGTCTATTCTTTCACAAGCCTAAATTTGCCATCCTTGATGAGTGCACAAAGTATGTCATCAAACTTTACATTTGTTAACCTTCAAAGAAATATTTCCAGTTACCTCATGATTTTTTTGTCTTTTGGTGGCAGTGCAACTAGTGTTGATGTTGAGGAACAACTTTATAGACTTGCTAAGGAAATGGGCATCACATTTGTTACATCCTCACAAGTAAGTGGCTCTTTGATAATTGATTGTAATTATTTACTGTATAATTGATCTGCTTGAGAGCAGTTTCTTTCTTCTTCCTTTTCTTTTGCAAATTATCAGTTGCACCCAATCAGGGTCGAATATCTTGTTTAATCCGACGACAATAGTATCCTTCAGTATGACCTGTCTCAGTCGCAAAAAGAGGCTACCGTCACTGTATTGTTTTAGAACTAGATTTTACTGCTTTTCCTTCACTGATTATTCTCTCATATATCACAGCGTCCTGCTCTAATACCATTCCATTCCCTGGAATTACGGCTTATTGATGGTGAGGGCCAGTGGGAGCTTCGGGCAATTAAGCAGTGAGTTGACACTAGCATCTGCCATTAAGTATCTGGAGCATGCAAGACTTCTCAGACCTCATAAATGGTGTGTAGGAAGAAAGTCACTAGGCCATTCAGCGGAGTCAATTATTTGTCATGTATCTCAAGTCGTGATCATTTTTACACAAAATTATGAATCCCGCAAAGAGGAGATGCCATGGAGATTTGTTTGTCTTAATCATATACAACAACTGTATTTATTTTTTTGCTGAAAGCAAGAGGAGGGGCCTGAAAGAGAAGCCAAGCACACAAGGTTGTTGCAGAAACTGCTAGAAATCAAGTCTGAAATCACGTAGTAGAATAGAGAAATCTTTATGTACAGGCTGACCTTTTTTTTTTTTTTTTTACTG